AACGGAAGGAGAACCCAGCTGGGCTCCATTCATCAAAGGATGGGCGTCCTCTGATATGGCCCACCAGCGGACAGAGGAGCTGGCAGCAGAGTCGGAGAGGGAGGAGAATTGGGGAGGAAGATGGGCCAGTCCTGGAGTCTGGGGAAGGCTCTGAGGAGGGCTCTTTGTCGGAGGCAGAGAGGGGGCCAGAGCCGTATTCCAGTTATCAGCTGCCTTCGGAGGCAACATCAGTGAGGCAGAAGAACAGCTGGAGCCTGTTCCCAGTGTGCGCATGCAGAGTTGCCAGACAAAGGGAACAGCTAAAGAACAGGGGTCGACTTGGGAGGAAGGCCACAGGGGGACGGTGAATGGCCCCTCCCAGAGGAAATAAAAGAGGAGCGAAAGGGGAGTGGAGCTTGCAGGAGGCATTTAGTTCATTCCTGCATTCTTACCAAGTATTGCGGCGTCTGAAAGATACCGGCCTGGCCCTTCTCCAAGCCTGATCAAAGTCGGTAATTGTAAACTATCTTGAAAGACTATGGGAGAGGAAAGACTTTTGTGGGAGAGGAATTCACCGTCAATTCAATAAAAGGGGTTTATATGGATGAGGATTCGGCTTTGTGCAGTTGGGGAAGCCGAGGTCAGAACACTTCCCGATCGATTGTGAGCCTACAAAATTGCAAACCAATTGGAAGATGCATCTTGCACGCAAACCCCGGCTTGTCTTAAGCGTAGTGTGTCCAACAAGCCACAACTGGCTGGGTTTCCAAACAACACAGCCTTTCAAACTGACAAGGTGTGTGAATCAGGTCGCAACCAAGTCAACCAAGCGAGCAAACTTTTGCTGCCCAGCATTCTTGATCGATAGAAGCCCTGTGAGTTTTATTTGATTTAGTTTGTCTAGTCTTGTCTGGATATGTCGAGAATGGATCCGGCGAGCTTTCGTATACAAAAATTAGGCCTTTTTAATCTATGTGAGTCTATATGGATTTAGAGTAAAGATAAACTTACAATTTGCAACCAGAATCACAGTCGTAAGTTGTCCCAGTCATTAAATGGGTTACCACATAGCCGCATCCACGTTTGCGGCCATGTTTTTAGGGGTCGTTAAGCAAATGCTGACGTCATTAAGCAAATGGATGATCTGTAAAACACTTTGTCAATTGTGGATGATGCAAATGGCTGTATAGTAATTTTCCCCTCCTGGAAACTGATGTATATTTCTAGTTTCGGTGGAGGGGATGGATAATCTGTATTCAATGAAACAGAAGTTGCCTTCGGAAGTTGTGGGAGCTTCATCCCTGGAGGCTTTCAAGAAGAGACTGGACTGCCATCTGTCAGAAAGGGTGTAGGGTTTCCTGCTTGGGCAAGGCGGGGGGGTTGGACTATATGGCCTCCAAGGTCCCTTCCGACCCTGTTATTCCATGTTCTAATTTTTATGGGCTTTTTCTGGCTGAATTTTCTGCTATCGTTCTCTCTAGGGGACTGCTGGCTGTTAGCTGCCATTGCGTCACTCACGCTGAACGACCCCCTTCTCCATCGCGTGGTCCCCCACGGACAAAGCTTCCAGAACGGATATGCTGGTATCTTCCACTTCCAGGTAAATACCTCCCCCATCCTTTGTCCAGGGCCTACGGATTCATCTCCTCTTTCTTTTATTTCTACCCTATGACTATCATTAAGTGTTGTACTTTAAGATTCTTGATGAATGTATCTTCTCTTTTTATGGACACTGAGAGCATAATGCACCAAAGACAAATTCCTTGTGTGTCCAATCACACTTGGCCAATAAAGAATTCTATTCTATTCTATTCTATTCTCTATTCTAATTCTATTCTATTCCATATTATCTATTCTATTCCATTCCATTCCATTCCATATTATCTATTCTNCCATGTTGCTTGTATCTTTCAATTTATATTGCTTTATCTTTTTCCTGGGACAATTTGATAGCTTATTAGTAAGCTTGACTATCACTAAGTGTTGCATCTTTTATTCTTGATGAATGTATTTTATTTTTCTTTCGGTATATGCACCAAAGACAAATTCCTTGTGCATCCAGTCACACTTGGCCCATAAAGAATTCTATTCCATTCAGAATTCTCTTATTCTTTTCTATTCTACTTTATTCAGAATTCTCCTATTCTATTCTATTCTAGCCAGAAACTTGGAAGGAAGAAAGGAAATTCATTTCTTTGCCCGCCACTGCAAGGTTTGGCGTTTTTTTCTTCTTCTTTTCCTTTGTTGCTGTAACATCTGCTTGTTTTCTTCATTGTATGAAAGGAGAAAGGAGGGAGGGGAACTGTTTGCAATGACCTAAATTCAACAATTGAATTCCTTAGGGACTCTGATCAACTTGCACAAGGCTGGCTATCTTGCTGAATTTCAAGTTTTTCTAGAAAAGTTCCGGGATTTTGAAGGCCATGTCCTTATATAAAACAGATGTTCCCTTCACTTAAACACGCAGACACCTTTAGTACAGAGGCAGCAGTCCCCATGCCAACTCCTTAATTTAATAATTAGATGAGCTTCATGCTGCCAGGTTTTCATCCTGCGGCTGTTTTATAAAGCAGTTTTAGTGCAGACCTGCTTTATAAACCATGGTTTGTGGCAGAGCCAAGTCACTGTGGTTTAATAACAGCAGGCTGAGGTTCCACAATGGGTAAAAGACACATCAAGTCATAGCTTAGAAATGAATAAGAGTTGGAAGGGGCCTTTAGAGGTCTTCTAGTCCAACCTCCTGCTTAGGCAGGAAACCATACACTGCTTCAAACAAATGGATATCCAACATCTTCCAACATGCAGTGTTGGGGCATTCACAACTTCTGGAGGCAAGTTGTTCCACTGATTAATTTTTTTCACTGTCAGGAAATTTCTCCCTAGTTCTAGATTGCTTCTCTCCTTGATTAGTTTCCAACCATTTCTTCTTATCCTGCCTTCTGGTGCTTTGGAGAATAGCTTGACTCCCTCTTCTTTGGGGCAACCCCTGAGATATTGGAAGACTGCTCTCCTGTCTCCCCTGGTCCTTCTTTTCCCTAGACCAGCCAGACCCAGTTCCTGCAACCGTTCATCATATATATCCAGTCCCCTAATCACCCTGGTTGCTCTTCTCTGCTCTCTTTCGAGAGTCTCAACATGTTTTTATAGCGTGGTGACCAAAACTGGATGCAGGATTCTAGGTGTGGTCTTACTAAGGCTTTATAGAGTGGTATTAGTACCTCCCTTGATCTTGATTGAATCCCTTTGTTAATGCCTCTAGGATTGCATTTTTTGGCTGCTGGCTCATATTTAGCTGGTTGTCCACTAAGACTCCAAGAACTTGCTATTAAACCTGGTTTACAAGTAGAGATTAACAGAGTTGGAAGGGACCTTGTAGGTCATCTAGTCCAACCCCCCGCCCAAGCAGGAGACCCTACACCATTTCTGGCAGAGGGAAGTCCAGTCTCTTCTTGAAATCCTCCAGTGGTGAAGCTCCCACAACCTCCGAAGGCAACTTCTGTTCCATGGGTGGATTGTTCTCCCTGTCAGGAAATTCCTCCTTATTTCCAGGTTGAATCTCTCNATTCCATATTATCTATTCTATTCTAAATTCTATTCTATTCTATTCCATTCTATTCCATTCTATTTTGAAATACAAGCAGGGTATTCCAACCAGAATTATAACGTGGAGTTGTATAGCTCTATATGCACCACAACTTTCCATTAGCAGAATCTTGCAAGTTCCCCATCACCTTTAGAGTGAGAAAAACTACAGGTAGTCCCCGACTTACGACCGTTCACCTAGTGACCGTTCAAAGTTACAACGACATTGAAAAAAAGCAACTTATGACTGTTTTTCACAGTTATGAACTTTGCAGCATCCCTTCAGTCACGTGATCGAAATTCAATGGCTTGGCAACTGTCTCATAGTTATGACAGTCACAGTGATCCCCTTTTGCGACCTTCCCACAAGCCAGGTCACTGGGGAAGCCACTTACCAACCGTGTCACTAACGTAACTGCAGTGATTCACTTAACAACGGTGGCAAGGAAGGTTCGTAAAAACGGGACAAAACTCACTTCACAACAGTCTTGCTTAGCGACAGAAACTTTGGGTTCAGTGGTGGTCGTAGATCGAGGACCACCTGGATTGACCAAAGGCACTTAAAAAAAGGGGCCGAGATTGTTGGTTTATTACGGTTGCACAATTGTGGTCTATTATTATCACACGTTTCCTTAACAGAACAGTCGCTGAGTCCGGCTGACCTGCAGATTTAGGATTCTTGATTTCTTTTTGCCTTCTGAAAACAGATCTGGCAGTTTGGGGAATGGATAGATGTGGTGGTGGACGATTTGCTCCCAACGAAAGACGGCAAGCTGGTCTTCGTTCATTCAGCCGAAGGGAACGAGTTCTGGAGCGCCCTGCTCGAAAAAGCTTACGCCAAGTACGTATCGTTTTATTTTCCTTTTTTGGGGGGAGTAGAGGGGATGAGGAGGAAGGTGTTTCAGAGTTGATCTTAGCTGTCAGAAGATTTGGCATTCTTCCACCCTCTTCCAAGAATTGGCTTCTGGAGGGGGACTCCATGTTCCCCGCCTGAGAAATGGGCAGAGAAATTGCAGCCTGATGGTCTGTGATTTCATATGACACCAACAGAATCATGCAGTCAGTGATTTGATTTGATTTGATTACATTTATATGCCGCCCTTTTCCCCAAGGGGACTCAGGGCGGCTCACAATTCAAATCNTCTCTTTGGTAGTTGATGGTAAGATGAATTGATATAATTACTTAATAATACAACATGATATTGACTATGTAATAGTATACATGTGATTATATGCTTATGAAAATGGAAAATAAAAACTTTCTATGTGAGAAAAAGAAATGGACTAGATGACCTACAAGGCCTCTTCCAACTCTGTTAATCTAATCAAACCCTACTTTTCCTTTTGATCCCTTTTATTTATTTATTTATTTTCCTTAGCACACTTCGTGGATGAGGAATTATCCGAAGCTCTGGCTGCAAAGAAGACAGAACTGGAGAAGGTAAGCGAGAAGTCATTCCGGAGAAGGTTCACCTCCTGTGTTTCAACCAGAACATGTTGTCCTTCAAACGTTGCCGAGATACAAATTCTGGTGGTCTTCGTTGGCCAGGCTTCCTTGGCATTGGCGTTGAGGAACATCAGAGGGTCATAAATGGTTCACACACATCTAAGCCACGCCTGGAATTTAGAACCGCATCCTCAGTGACCCTTACGCAGAGACCTTTCTGACCAGGCGGAAGAGGGCCTCTCGCAATTAAATCTCAGATTAGACATCCTGACGTGGGTTGACATTTTGACATCATCGTGACTTGTTATGGGCTCTGGTGCTGGAGAACAGTTTGAGGGATTTTCCCTAACGAACAATAATTATCTTCCAAATCTTGGGGTGGTTTTTTTCCCACCATTTGTAAATCAGGATGTTTGATGAATACGGGAGAGTATGTCATTCTTCTCTTCTAGTTATTTCATCTAATGCAGGAATGTCCAATCTTGGCAGATTCAAGACCCGTGGACTTCAACTCCCAGAATTCCCCAGCCAGCCATGCTGGCTGGGGAATTCTGGGAATTGAAGTCCACAAGTCTTAAAGTTACCAAGTCTTGACACTCTTGATCTAACGTAATATGAAATCTTCTCAAAGTTGGTGTCCTTCAGATGTGCTGGACTACAGTTCTCATCATTTTCCACTCGGTCTTAGACATGGGAATTGGGGTCTTGTCCTTTGGTGAGTTCCAGGTTTGGGAAACTTATCAACAGATATTTTCTGTGGCAAACCAAAGAATTGTTTAATGAGATCACCAGGTGTCCATTCCATGTTCTCACTGGTCAGAAAAAGAACTTTATTGATGCCCACCACAACTGCTACTGGAGCTGTGGTGCCTAGAGGAGCTGGCAGCAGATTCGGGCAGTGAGGAGGTTGGGGAGGAACATGGGCCAATCCTGGAGTCTGGGGAAGGCTCTAATGAGGGCTCTGTGTTAGAGGCCATACACCATTTATCAGCTCCCTTCGGAGTCAGACATCAGTGAAGCAGATTAACACCTGAAGCCTGTTCCCAGTGTTGGCCAGATGAAGGGAACAGCTAAGGAACAAGGATCAACTCAGGAGTAAGGCCACAGGTGGACGGTGAATGGCCCCTCCCAGAGGGAATAAAAGAGGAGCGAAAGGGGAGTGGAGTTTGCAGGAGACCATTAGTTCANAAAACAAAACACAGGTATCTATTATAAAAAAAAGAAGTATATCAACTGGTTACAACATGCTTTGGTGCTTCTCTTCACTTCACAGCCCTCTTTTTGACTCCTGCAGTGTGCAGGTCCTCAATGGAAGGTGTTCCTAGCTTAACAACTGCACAATTCACTTAACAAGTGTGGCTAGGAAAGTCGTAAAACAGGACAAAGCTCACTTAACCCCTGTCTCACTTAGCACCGAAATTTAGTCACAAGTCAAGGGCTACTTGTATAGGATGCTACACTTGCGGTAGTAGAGATATCAAACTTTTCGCTGTATCACATTGGGTGCATCGCCTTAAACTATACTAACATCGCATATTTGTCTGGGCTTAGCACTTCTGCATTTTTAAAAACAGCTGGAATGCAGCTCAAACGGTAACCAAGCAAGAATTTGTTTTACACTGGTATGATTTATTCAATAAATGTATGTAGCTGCCCATCCGAGCGGCAGAATTCTGGATGGTGAACCAAGATAAAAGCATAAATACATAATCCAGAGGTCTTGAATAATTAAAACAAGCCAAGTGGAGCCCCCTGTAATAAAATAAAAAAAAGTACACCCTCTTGCTAAGATGTCGCACAAAAATATCACAACTCCATTAGCATCCCAACCTTAGTGCCTGGAGGGGTGAGGGGAAGCTGGGTCTTCTTGATGGCCTTTTGGAACCCAAACAAGATCTGTGTTTGTGTAAATGTGAATGATGGTTTCCAGGTCTGACAGTGTGTGTGTTTGTGTGTGTGTGTTCCATAAGACAGTTGTTGTGACCCGCCAGCAGCCAGCGGAGTTGGCAGCAGAGTCGGACTGTGAGGAGGTTGGGGAGGAACATGGGCCAGTCCTGGAATGTGGGGAAGGCTCAGATGAGGGCTCTGCGTCGGAGGCAGAGAGGGGGCCGAGGTCGTCTGGCAGTGATCTGCTGCCTTCGGAGTCAGACATCAGTGAGGCAGAGGAACAGCTGGAGCCTGTTCCCAGTGTGCGCATGCGCAGAGCTGCAAGACAAAGGGAACAACTCAGAAATCAGGGTAGACTTGGCAGTAAAGTCACAGGCGGAAGGTGATTGGCTCCTCCCATAGGGAATTAAAGAAGAGCGAAAGGGGAGGGGGCTTTTGCAGGAAACAATTTGTTTGTTCGGTCGTTAGATTTGCTTCAGGAGTGTGAAGATCTGTCCGTGAATCTCAGAGACTCTGTGCCCAGAGCCTTTCCTTCCATAGCACCTCATTTGGGAAAATATTGACATGGCAGATTTCCAAGATAGATAAGGTCTGTGGTGATAAAGATTCCTTTGAAAGACTGTTTCCCAGGCCTTGCTGAAAATGAATGAAAGGATATCACATTTGTTTAATAAAAGGGGTTTTGTTNAGGACTGTATAGAAGGGAGTGGGGTCTGTGTTGCTCTCTGTATATATTGTGCTCCCCTCCAGCCTTAGTTATTTTTTGCAGACATTTCATCTGAGTGAAATTGATATATTTATGTAATCAATAAAATAAATCAACTAGGCCACATGATCAGCCTGGTAGAAATGAGTGGGGTTTGTGGAAGAGGAAGAGGACAAACGGGGGGGGGGGGTCCTTGCTGCTCTCTGTACTTGGTGGTTTGCTTGGAGACGTTTCATGACCCAACTAGGTAGCATTGTCAGTGCTAGAGGGGAGAGGGGTTTGCTCTCTGTTTACATGCAAGTGGTTTGGTTAGAAGAGAGGATATGTAAGTCCGGGTTGAACTGCAGGGTCCTTGGTGCTCCCTGAACACTTGGCTGTTTACTTCCAGACATTTCACGACCCAACTAGGTAACATTATCAAGATTAACACCACACCAACATCAAGAAGTAAACAATAACCCCAAACAAGGAACTACTGAGGAAGACAAAACAAGCTGTTAAACAACAAACGACAGCTTAATCTGGGAACCACCAAGAAGAAAACAACACTCCTACGATACTACAGGGCAAGCCACTAGTACTGTATATAAAGAGAGAGCAAACCTCCCCCTCCCTTCCAGCACTGATGACGTTACCTAGTTGGGTCATGAAACGTCTGCAAGAAAACAGCCAAGTTCAGGGAGCACCAAGGACCCTGCAGTTGTCCTCCTCCTCCTCTCCTCCAACCCTTCTCCCTTCCAGCACTGATGACGTTACCTAGTTGGGTATTGAAACGTCTGCAAGAAAGGAACCAAGCTCAGAGAGTCCCCTCCCAAGGTCTCCATTTTGTAAACTCTACAACTCAACTGGTGGGTAACTGCCTTTGCTTTTTCCTGCTTCTGACTCAACACAGGCTATTTTCCCCCCACAATGTACCGTATTTTTCAGAGTACAAGATGCACCTTCTCCCCCCCCCCAAAAAAAAAGAGGGGAGGGGGGAATCTGGGTGCGTCTTGTTCACTGAATGCAGCATTTTTGGCCTTCCGAAACCCTGCCCCGCGCATCCCGTGGTTTTTTTTTTTTGCAAAAATGGCCCTGCAGAGGGTTTGGGAGGCCCGTAGAATTCTCCTGGGGGCTGCCCTTTCATGCACAGGGAGGGGCAGGCATGTCACATGTGGGGTGTGTGGCGCACGCATTGCATTATGGGTGTTGTCACGCGACGACAAATAAGTTAGCCATCCCTGCCCTGGATGAAGACTCCAAAACCCACAAGACAAAATACAGAAGCTCCTAGGCTGACTCTTCAGCGTCCATTTCTTCCCCTTCCTTCCAGCGCCATGGAAAACGGAGCGCCATCAGCACATGGGAGGCACCCAGTCTTAAAAGTCTTCAGGACAGCGCCACCGCTGGCTTTGCAACAGCTGTCGAACAGCTGCACCCGAAAGAAAGCGGGTTCCCGCTACAAGGGAGATCGACAGTGGAACCGCGACGTTTACGAGACCCTCCCGTTAACACAAGGGCTCCCTCTACAGGCGGCTCTCCAACTCCCAGGAGCGGCTCAGGAGAAGAGGAGGAGGGCTCCTCTTGTTTTGAGGGTTTCCTGATGCTTTTAGACTTACGGGTTTTATCGCGTGATGGACAGCCATGCAAATCTTTGAGGAAAAACTGAAGAAGGAAAGAAGGAAAAAAGGAAGGAAGGAAGGAAGGAGGAAAGAAGGGAGGGAGGGGGAAGAAAGAAAGATATAGAAAGAGAAAAGGAGAGGGAGAAAAAAGAAAGAAAGAAAGAAAGAAAGAAGAAAGGAAGATAAAAAAGATGAAAAGA